GGGGGGTTTGCTAGTGAAACTTTAGCCAAGAACCATTCGTCGAGTATTGCTGGAGCTCAACAAATGCAGTTAGTTCTTGATGCAACGACTGACTGGAATGATACATCCTACCCATGGCCAGGGGACTGTTAGTTCGCGGGCGTTCTCAAGAATGTTTCAAGGTTAACTCAAACTTCCATTGGCTTTTTTGGGATTTTTTTTTAGATAGTCCAGCTGTAACACCCTTCTGATGCCTAGCTGTCCGAAGGCGGCACGAAGGCTGCCAGATTGCCCAAGCCTAGACATAGGAAGTCGAGGGGTAGAGGTCGGGATCGAACTACGGTCAGTAAATTCGCTCTCTAACCACTGAGCCACTTTGTTTTTTGTGAGTAAATATGTAAACTAGCGAGCGAACTGGCAATGTTCAGGTGAAACATCTTTCTGAAGGTGGGCACCATTATTCTGATGAACGTGCTGGAACGTGGTATAAGATAAACATTGGGGCATTGGGTTTTAATTAGAAATTTCAGCAACCTTGTGAGTAGTTTCCTATATGAAAATATACTGCGATATCTCGAATATCGTGCCAACTGAATCATGAGGTGGCCTGTGTGCAGCACATTCAGTTGTAGACTATCATAAACGAGAGCTTTAGTTGAGTCTTTCGTGAAAACCAAATTGATTGGAAAATGAGTGTATTTCTCGAAAACAAATTTATCTTGAATCTAACTTCGGGCCAACCGCCCAGGACTAGAAACTATTTCCTGTACTGCTTGGAAAGATTTTTCTTCAAAGGAGAATATGCCATAGATTTTTTACACGGGGAGCATCGATTTATGAATACTCCAAAACTAGGCTGACTAAATTAATAGTCGTACAAAACAAGAGCAGAGTAACCCTGTCCGGCGAGGCTCGTTTTCATACAAATCCACGTTCGTAACGGCAGCGAAGCATCGGTGTTGAACACTGATGTCATGCTGTCGATGATGACGTTCTGTCAGCAGTACGGTCCCCAAAAATGTGGAACAATCCTTCAGCTATAACACCCTTCCCGTGCCTTACAGCCATGCCACCTGAAGGAGGCTGAGACTGTGCCAGGCTGTAAAGTCCAGACAAGAGCAGTTGGGGCGCAGACGTTGGGTTCGAACCCCGGACTTGCCGACTACTAAGCCACTGAGGCGTTTTTCACACGCCATATAAACACTCGACTATGTGAATCGACAGGTATTCATCACGATCGGAGCTTCTCACCTTAGACTGATCCTATCACGTGACGCCTACCACACTGTCTATATTGACCTTGTTTTTCGCGACCGCCTAATTAGACCGAGTTTAGGTGAAATTCGAATAGCTTACTGAAGTCCTGCTCCTAACGAGTCAATGATTTTAGCAAAGGTATCGAGTTTGCTATCTAGGAGAACGTTGGTAGCTCAGGTAGCGAAGATAGTCGTTGGATTGTTCGCGGAGCTGGGCAATTTGATTGTAGGCGTCTCATTACCAATCAAGATGACATTATCAGCTCCTTGTTAGGGAACGTGATTGAGCGTAGCGATGCGCCGGTGACTGAGCAATCAAACTGCCCAACTCAGCGAACGAACAAACGTCAAGAGTATTCAATGAAACTTTGAATACAAATTGGCCAGCATTAAAAGAAGCGTTTTAACTTGTAGGGACCGATAACCGATACAAGAAATGAATTTCCCGTTGCAACCCAAGAGGTCTGAAATCTCTGTCAGGCAGAAGAAATCCTATGAGTGGTTTTCTCTTCAACGATGAGAAGGTGAGAGACTCCTCTCCTCATCAAGCGATGCAGCAGTTTCATACGCTTCAAGTTTGGGGTTTTATGATCCCCAATTCAAATGAATGTGAAACTGAGTATTTTTGTTCACTTCTTCGTATCCTATCGAACATGTTTCAAACACATTTCACCATGTTGGAGAAGTGGCTTGCCCTGTTCACGTTTACGGAGACGGTTTTACGGACAGGCCGTGCAACAGAAACTAGGTTTTGCCCAATTCTTCGTGAAGTAGATCCTTTCGTATGGTTCGGTGGTCAGCTGCGGGACTTCAGCTGTAACGGTAACTATCCATCCGGGCAGAGGACCGGAAGAAAACGGCATTTACGGTTAGGAGAAATTTGGTGACAACCAGCGGGAAGCAATATATCGTGATAATGAAAGAACACCTGTGGCAATGGATCGAAGTGACAGCCGTGCCAAATTAACGGGCGACGATGATCGGCGGAGTGGTAATTCATCGTGGCCAACCATTGGGTGTCAAAAATGATCCTAACCGATCAGGGGCCCTGCTTCGAGAGCGAAGAGTTCAAGAATTGCTTGCAGAAGCTGGGTATGAGACGGTTAAGGACGGCACCGTATCACCGGCAAATGAATGACCTAACCGAACGTAATAACCGAACAATCAAGGAGTGGTTGGTGGCCAAAGGAGGTGACTGGGAAGTGGACTTGCCAGTGGTGTTGGTAGCTCATCGTGCTTCCATACAGCCAACCACAGGCAAGTTCCCGCTTATGCTGATGTGCGGTCGACATCCGCGCCTTCCGATTGGATTGTGGCCGACAACACGCTTGTCTCCGAAGGGGCTAGAGGAAGAAAGAAGGAGGGCTCGAGAAAACTTGACCGCCATTCAGGAAAGGACAGGACAGAAAACGGCAAGTAGAAAAGCACAACCATTCCCCATAGGCGCGAAGGTCAAGTGGAAGGATCATCAGTATCTTGGAAGGAGTGAACTTGTGTCACGGAAGCTAGGCAGTCGATGGCAAGGGCCGTCTGTCGTTACAGACAGCCAGGGGAGGCGGTCAGGGATCGAAACGATTAAATGGGACGAAGCTTCGTAAGTGGTATGATACACCCGAAGAGCGGCCAAGTAGACCTGCTTCCGAAGCCAACCTGACAGAGGTAAATGAAACTCGATGGCATGCGAACGACCTTTAAAGGGGGGAAGGTGTGTAACGGTGATACTAGTGAGGTGGACATCCGAGTGCTATGTGTTCTCGTAAGTCCGCCTTGCGTCTCTTGGGGAGTCGCTCTGTAGCATTTGCTTGCATTGGAGCAAAAGTTATTGAATATTCGGGAAAGTTCAGAAAAACGCGTTCAAGGAGAAGATGAATATTCCGTTTTGTGAACAAGATGCACATGAGAGTTTTGCTTTCCTGTCCAATAATCTATAGCTGTTCAGTTGGCATTTCTAATGAATAACTCCGCAGGGAAGGCCTATTTCTAATGAATAGCTCCGCAGGGAAGGCCTTCTTCCTGTCGTAGGTAGTGTTCCTCCTGAAAACACGCTCATCCTGGCACGGTATGTTGAAGGTGCACTTAGTGTGTTGTCTGTACTGTTGAGGTCTTGCATCAGACATCACTAAGACTACGTTTCTGACTGGTTACTTGAATGCTCCGACTAGCGTCCTCGATCAAATCCTGATCCCACCATGCACAACTGATGTTTCATAGGTATCCGGATCACGAACTGGTTTCCTGATATCAAGGCTATGAGTTGTACCAGATGCTTTTTACATGACACCATCGTTAATAAAACTGAATATAAACAAAGATACCGGACAGCCTTGTCAGACCCCTGCAAAACATCAGAGCAGTTCAGTGTGCGCCAAACTCTCCCAAATTTACGCGGATGATGGAACTCCATTTTCTACCAGAACGTTCCACAGGTCATTTATAGCGATGGCGTCAAAAAGACACTTGAGTTTGGACAAGGCCAGCATAATTGGTCTAGGGGATGTCGGGGACAACTTGAACAAAACATCTATACATTCTTGGATCGATCGGATCCCTGTCGTTGTGTTGATTAGACTCACTGCCGTCAATCGCCAAAGCTTGAGAAAGGTCAAAATCTTTGACGTATTATTGCTCTTTCAGCTGATGGGCTAGACTTTTTTCTAGATAGTCCCAGTCAGAAAGTATTTCTGCTGAAATGCTGATGCCTCCACAAAAGGTATGAAGTTACATCACTGACAGCGCAACTTCGTCTCCAAAAAGCACTGCAGGATAATTTTTTCTAGTCCTCTTACTGGTACCATAATTTATACACGTTTGTACATACATGTATATTCATATATATTTATTCACGATGTATTTGTGAACATGGGTGGTCAGGTTTTGACGAGAGTCACGTGGTACTTTGGTGTGCTAGGTAGGAGTGATTCATTGTCCCTGGGATAAACGTCGATCCGCTAGGCCGTTCTCATCCTTTCCGAGTGGCTTAGCTTGAACGTCCATACTCGACATACCAATTTCTCAACCTTTAAATGAAATCCTCTCCCATGATTCAACGAGAACGTTGGATCCATACGTCTGTCAGAAGCCTTGAATGCATTTTTTGAAACGCGGTGTACGAGACGCGTTTTTTCACAACAAAAATAAGACAGTTATGTGTACTCTTTACTGCAGTTAAATGAATCACCTGACATTTACTGACATTCAGTGAAATGCGCGAATTGTGGGACGGAAGTTGACATAGATCTTCAACAAGCAAGTTGGTGTGCGTTCCATTGAATGGTATTCAAGCGAATAGTGGTTTGCCTTCGTCGAAACTCTTGTCGCGCTTGTCGCCTTCCAGTAGTCGACCAAATCTTCACGATGGTAGTTGAGGAACGCAGGACGCTTCCCGAGTAAAAGGTGTGACAGAATTACGGAATCGATAGCTTTCTCCGGCCTTGGTTGTTTCACTTTTGACTAAGGCTTGGGTTAGCTTAAAACTGTTTTCGCATAGGAGAGTGGTAAGTGGGTTTTGCAGTTTTGTGATCCGCTTGGTCTTCCACGATTTCCTCAAAAACGAACACAAGAGTCCACCAAACAGTCAATGCACTACCGGGGCACACACACGTCTAGGTTGGGAGTTGAGGCTCAGATGAACGGTCTGAAATTAGAGATGCCCACGAAGTCCACCAAACAGTCAATGCACTACCGGGGCACACACACGTCTAGGTTGGGAGTTGAGGCTCAGATGGAACGGTCTGAATTAGAAATGCCCACGAATGCGCCATTCCTCCAATCGAAGAAAGCTAAGCAAATAGAACATAAGTTTGATGGAACCTCGGGGACTGTGTCCACCTGATGAAACTGGTCGTGGGTTACTGAAGGGCCTTCATCAACCTTATGAGTAGTGTGTTACGTTCAGTCTAAGCAACACATATTTGCACCAATGAACGCATACCGACCCAGTACTTGTTGTACCCCGAATGAAACTCCGTAAATTTTAGAACATCCGCCAAAAGATAGCAAAGAACGTGAGAAAGATGAGACGTTCTTCTACTCGGTTTTCAAGCTACACTGAAAGGTGTTCTCTATTTACAATCCCAACCACCAACGACGTTTACACGGAGTTGAGTAACTTTCAACAAGACACTGTAGTAAGCAGCACACTAGTAATACTGCGACATTACAGTGATTTGTAGACATTAACGCTTATCAGGGTCACCACTGTGTGACAAAACTGCTTGGTCAGATGAAACAAGGACAACGATGGTTTTCCGAGGTGGTAGTCTGTTAAAGGGGACGTGAATTCAAGCGTCCTATCCGCAGCACTCAAGTCATTGCATGGCAAAACCCTGAGCCACTAAGACAGATTAAACGACAGACTAGAAGAGGCTATGAATGACAGGCCGCCGAACATTGGTTTGGACAATAGACTTTTACGAATTTTCCCATGATGATGCTAAAAACAAGATGCTTGATATAGAAATCGATGCTTCTAGACAGCTAGCTACACTTTATTCTGTTTGGAGGAATACGTGAAGCCAGGAGCGAGGAACGTTATCATGTTTAAGAGCGAGTGATATTGAGTCGAAATTTAGTCAGATTATCGTACTTGACTGATGTAAGTAGTAGATGCGTCGAGTTCAGTTTAAGGACTATTTTTGCACACAGGAGTGAGCAATCTTCACCAGGATGAACTCTACCGTCACCGTGAAAAGAATCACAACGGCGCAGACGGAGATGTTGTTCAAGCTGTCTCCGATGAAAGACTGCTAACAGGTTTTGAAGCGACTGACTAAGGTATCGGATACACGTATCACCTCACATTCAAGTGCCGCCGTTTTTGGACACATTTGTCTGCTAGTTATTATATCGTAAATTAAACGAAATTATATCTTGGAACTTTAAGTCTGTTAGCTGAGACAGACGGAGATTCAAAATGCGCACTAATTTTCTTCAAATCTGCTGTTTTGTTAATCTTCTGGTTGAAATAATCAACGTGACTAGTAAGATTCATTTACTTTTGCATTTCTCTGATCTGTTCCATTATCTTTGAGTTCGCAAAAGCATATTTCGTTTTTGCGGAAACGCTATTATTTCATTAGCATACAGCTGAGCTGGAATTCTTCAGAATCAACTGCATAAAAAAACATGGCCAATTTGCGAATATTTCGAATGAGTAGAACGCGAGTTATTGACAACTTCTCTGCGTTCAGAGATTACGCGCCAATTTCTGTCAACTGGGAGATTTACCGGATGGCATCAACCACGATGGATGGGCCAAGGTATGAAAAAAGGTTCGCGACTGAGCATGTAACGGTTAGGGTTGTTTGCGAGTGTTTGGAAAGGTTACCACGTAACAGATTCAGAGTTTTTTTTTACATCACTCGGCGAATCCCACAGCCGAATACTGCCTTAGAGGCGAGATGGTTCAAGTGGTGAGAGCGCGAATTTACTGACCGGAAGGTCTGTGTATCGAACCCGACCTCGGCCTCATGACTCCCCCTGTCTAGGCTTGGGCAACCCTGGCAATATCCCAGCCCTCGTTCTTCCCTCGGGTGGCATGGCAGCTGGGTCCCGGAAGGGTGTTACAGCTGAACGATTTGATTTGATTTGATTTGATTTGATTTGATTTGATTTGATTTGATTTGATTTGATTTGATTTGATTTGATTTGATTTGATTTGATTTGATTTGATTTGATTTGATTTGATTTGATTTGATTTGATTTGATTTGATTTGATTTGATTTGATTTGATTTGATTTGATTTGATTTGATTTGATTTGATTTGATTTGATTTGATTTGATTTGATTTGATTTGATTTGATTTGATTTGATTTGATTTGATTTGATTTGATTTGATTTGATTTGATTTGATTTGATTTGATTTGATTTGATTTGATTTGATTTGATTTGATTTGATTTGATTTGATTTGATTTGATTTGATTTGATTTGATTTGATTTGATTTGATTTGATTTGATTTGATTTGATTTGATTTGATTTGATTTGATTTGATTTGATTTGATTTGATTTGATTTGATTTGATTTGATTTGATTTGATTTGATTTGATTTGATTTGATTTGATTTGATTTGATTTGATTTGATTTGATTTGATTTGATTTGATTTGATTTGATTTGATTTGATTTGATTTGATTTGATTTGATTTGATTTGATTTGATTTGATTTGATTTGATTTGATTTGATTTGATTTGATTTGATTTGATTTGATTTGATTTGATTTGATTTGATTTGATTTGATTTGATTTGATTTGATTTGATTTGATTTGATTTGATTTGATTTGATTTGATTTGATTTGATTTGATTTGATTTGATTTGATTTGATTTGATTTGATTTGATTTGATTTGATTTGATTTGATTTGATTTGATTTGATTTGATTTGTACTGCCTGACTGTGGTGTCCAGATCTACCTCTGATCCTTCCCCTCATATCATTTACCTTTAGAAGGACATCGGTGTTGAGAGTTTGTTGTCGCCTCATTTGGAAATGATTGGGATTCTGTTACAGCAATCTCTCGGCTCATCGACGAATCAACTCGGCCCAAAAAGACGCTTCAGGAGAGTCGATTAAACAATAGTAAGTTATGGAAGGCTCACAATTGCTGGAGGTAAAAATGCCAATGGCAAGTAGCACCTCCGTCACTCATTGTTTTTTCCTTATTAAGCATTCTACAAAGCAAACAACTCAGAAAGCTTTAAATCTAGAATGTGCTTTGTCAAACTGAGACGATAAACGATGGTCAGAAGAATGGAACGGGGAAGTCCTGTGTAGGAGAAACGTGGTGAGTTTGTTTAAAATGCCACGTGACTCAGCCACTAGACTTCTGGGGAATTTCAAAGCCTCTGTAATACCAGCCAAGTGGGGAAATACGCTTATAGGAATATACCACTGTAGGCAATCGAAACAGTGTAAAACAAATAAGGGGATGGGGATACTGATAGGTGACGAGGAAGTATCGATCGGAGCTCAGTAGCAGCAGTTTGAATTCCATGAATAAATAGTTTATTGTCCTTATAAAAAACTGCGTTTCACGCAAGCAACAACATGGTTACCCTCTGTACGGATGACGATTGGTCTAGTGAGAGTGGTCGTGCATTCGTTTCTCTTAAGCAGCCGACTTTTGTATAGTACTATATCCTCTACGATGCAGCAAACATGGTGCGAACGGGTTAACGGGGCGGACAAAGAACTGTGCGGGCAAATGATATTTCCCGGGTGTCTAGGACGAAGGAAAGGGTTTGGTTGAGGTATCTCACCTGGAGCCTATGACTCAAAAGCTTGACCCATAAGGCAGTGGCAGGATGTTGGGTTTTGTTCGGGGACCGTGTCCCTAGCCTCTGACTCAAACATCTGTTCCCTGAGGTAGGGATCCTGCGCGATGCCCAAAATTACCTGACCTGCTCCACTGTAGGGGACTGACCTAACCCAAGGACGTAAGGAGTAAGGCATGACTTTCTCAATTCCGGTGCGGCTGTACGCAGCAGGTGTCTTCCGAGTAGCACCAGTATTTTGGTTTTAAAAGTATTCTGGCCGTGCAGGCGGTCGAACTTTGGGTGATCAGTGTGTGCGTTTTTTTTTCGGAGATGACCAGCTCTAACCCGACCCTCCTCGCAGAAAGTCTGCCTCGCTGTTTCCATAAATAAAGAACATGCTGGTCGATTGGGGGAAACATCTCACCCAAGTGCGAAAGACAGTACGAATTAATTTACCCTCAGACTACTTTGCAATACGCAATTACAAGCAGTACGGGAACTCGCTGTTCTACGTCAGACTGCTCCCCGCAGGGCTTCCTGACATTATTGAACTTGTGGCTAGGATACCACACGGGATCACTGCGGCGAGGATGCCCGATCACTATGACACCTTGACGGCTTTAGGCTGGGTTAAACCTGAACGCTTATTTTCATTATATTATGTTTTGTATCCTCGATGTACTAGAGGAACAGTACAAATACTTTTTCCTTCAATTTTGGCCAGAGAGAACATTAGGGAATGATGGAGGCGTCGTTACTTCTGGTACTATGATTTCGGCTCAAAATTTCCACTAATCAGGAAGAGAATAAAGCAAAATCCCTCACGACATTCTTTGTTTATTCCTTCGTTATCCAGAAGCGGTTTGACTTGAAGATCATACACGACCTGAGGCCTTCTTGACTGTTTGGTGTGAGCATTCTTGTGCACCTTTTCATGACAGTGACAGTTGTTTATTTATCCAATAAACGTCTGTTTCATCGATCAGCAGCATGTTTCGACAGTTTCTAACAGGTTCTGCTCAATCACTGTCAAGACGGAAAACACCAAACAGTCTCGAACGTCCAAATGATGAGGTCAAATGGTCCTGTTCGCCCCGTCAAAGGTTCTCTTCGGGGCACCCTCTTGAAGGGTTAGTACCACATGCTCCATTATTGTCTACTCATTGTATGTGGATGTTAACAAACGGCTCTTTCGTAAATGTATCCATCAGTCATTGCCTTGCTAACTAACTAATTCAGTTTCAACATTCCATCAAACCGGATGCTTGGCTTGACGTACACTTTCCGGACGAAGCGACAATCACGTCAAACTGAGCGCCATAAACCTGTAGTGATAATAAATTGATTTGAGACTGGCACGTACGTTTGTACTACCTAGACTGCACGCGACCACTGTCGGTTCCAAGTCAAGTCAACCTATGCTGATGGCCCACTCATTCCTGTCGCACATAGTACAGCTCTGAGGAAGTTAGAAACAGTGGCATCCAGGCCAGTAGTTGTACAGTATACAGTACAGTCTTTACTAACAGCACTCACCCTTCAGTCATGAACTTCAGGTTGAAAACACCTTGACAGCGACTTTCGTCAGTAAATTTACGGGCGGTATGCTTCATCAAACAAAAAAATACTATGATATCTTCAATATCATACAAGCGGGAACATGAGGCGGCTTTTCTACTTAAGCAGAGACACAGTCGTATCTCATTGACGCAAGTGACCACGTTTCATCAAAAATCTGACTAGTTGTTAACCGCTCTCTAGACAAACCTGCTGACGAATTATTACGGTTATCATACCGCCGAATCCCCTTCGTAAAAAGAAGCAGTGTCGGTGACCGTGCCCGCGAACAGAACGAATATGAGTTCCTGGTTCTGCCACCAAGATGCATTATAACACAGTCTTGTACTGAGGCTCAACAAATTAAAAATTTCAGCACAATGCAGCAAATATAAAATCCAATGTTTCACTGAGTCGCGTAACCATGGGAGAGTCGGATTATGACGCCAGAGGACTGCATGCGCACATCACGCACTGTGATATCGATTATTTTTAGGTGGACGGGTGATCCACCCACATTTAAATCGATTCATCAGCGGCTTAGCTGTTCGCGGTGATCAGCTGATCAGCGGTTAGTTATTTCTTTACTCCTGCTGCGGTCGTCGATACCGATGACTCATGCCGAGGGTTCCTAGCCTACTTCTGATTTCTGCGGGATCATGCCCAGAGATGTTAAGCGTTTATTGATACTTGCTAACTTGGGCAGGAAACAGAATAGTCAGACCGAGGGCTTGTGACCGCTTAACATCAGTTTGAGTGACAAGTGTACATCTCAGAAAGAATATAGAACGAGGCTTAAAGCTTTTTCACCAATGATTTTATGCACCACGTCATCGTATCAGATATATAGATCGGGAGCTTCTGCATCAGCTTCAGTGATTACAGAATGGCGGCGCACAATAGACAGTCCAGCGGAAAGCATAAACTCAGAGACCATCGATCCCGGAAAGATACAACTCCATGATGTGTAAATTTCAACAAGATGGCAAACAAAAACATTTTTTGACCTAGCCGGCTTGCATCTTTCTAGCCTGGATCCAGGGATACTGCCGGTCGCTATGCAAGGCGTGCATCGGTGAAAATTACTTATTGATTTGGCCATAACGGCTGGAACATTTTCACGTACCATGATCAGCCTACCAGTGCACCACTGTGGTGCATGTGTGTAAGGAATGTAATTTC